TCTTGGATTGAAATACATGTGCATCAGCTTCATGGTTAGCTATATGTATGGGGCGATCGGGCTGAAACCTCATCATCAACGATACCGCTATTTGATGCCCGACTGGGTATGCACATCACATTAATATGAACACATAAATTTGCGTTTATTTATATTTACTAATTTCATTTCATATGAATATTTCAGAAGCGATATCGCTAAGTAAACCCGCTTCATAACGACTTAAGAAAAGTATTTCCGGTGGAATATCCCTTTCAAGTGGCATAATTGGGTATTTCAGGGCCACAGATTATTTGCAATTACACACTTGTCTGACTGAAATGCTGATCATTTTATTATCTGGAAATATTTTTTAACTTAAATTTTACTTTTCAAGCAAATGGCTCAGCAACAACAAATGTCAGAAATGTAAATCAGTATCAAAATTAACATAAGAAAAAATAACCATTGAAAGAATAATATTTATCAACAAATTCCACGGACAAATAAATATAAATTATTAAATGAAAAAATAAAATTAATTCTTTGAACTTTTAAGTGCTTCCGGAGATTTTTGAAAATAAATAATGAACAACTTTGAATAATACAAAATGTAAAATTTATTTTCATTAGAGATAACGAGATAATTTGATTTAACTTATATTAAATAAAACTCATTTAGCAAAACCAATAAGAACGAACTGAATAGATCAACTAGAGTTAAATCAAACGTTAGTAAAAATATTAAAAATAGACCTAAGTAAATAAGATATTAATTAGAAGTTATGAAATAAAAAACTAAAAATACAATATGATATTAATTAAATGAAATAAAACTAACTTATAATTAAAATGAGTAAAGAAAACTTTAGACTTTAATAATAAAAAATTATATTATATAAAATAATATATTAAAAACTAAAATTGAACAGAAAAACCCTTAAAAATTAAGTAAAATTTAGCGAACTAAATTAAAATAGCATAACAGGAAATAAAATGAAAGAAAAGAAAATAAAAAAATACAGGAAAAACCAATGTAAAATAAAACAAAATAAATAAATCTAAATAAAAAAAAAAAACAAAATAAATAAAATGATATAAAATAAAGTAAAATAAAAAAATTTAAAATAAAATGAAATCAAATACATAAATAAAAATAAAATAAAATAAATAAAAAATAAAAAAAGAAATAAAACAAAATAAAATAATATAATATATGAATAAATTAATTTAAATAGAATGCAAAAACGAAATAAAAAGAAATAAAATAATATAATACGAATAAAAAAAATTTTAAATAAAACATAATAACCAAGAGTAAAATAAAATAAAATAATATAATATATAAAACAATAAAAAAATTAATTATATAACATAAAAATAAAATAAAATGAAAAAAATTAAAATAAATCAAAAAATTAAAGAAGTAAAAATAAGTTGAGCTAAACTAAATAAATTAAATAAAAAAAACAAAGTTAAATTAAATAAATTAAGTTAAATAAAAGAAAATAAAGCAAATCAAAATAAAATAACAAAATATTAAATAGAATAAAATTAAAAATTATAGCATATGCCAAGAAACAATAAAATAAATAAAAAATGAAGCTAAAAAAATAAAAAATTAAAATAAAATAAAAAAATTATAAAATAAAGTAAACTCAAGCAATATAAGAACACAAAATATAAAAAAAATAAAAAAATTGAAAAAAATAGATTTAAAAAAAATAAATTAATAAACTACCATAAACTCAATAATATATACAAATATTAAAAATTAAAATAATTTCAATCAAACCAAAATAAAATAAATTAAAAGAAATAAAAAAAAATAAAAAATAAAATAACATAAAGTAAACAAAAGAAATAAAATAGAAAAGAATAAAAAAAATAAAAGAAAATAAAATAATTTTAAATAAAATAATAAAGTAAAATAATATAAAATAGAGTAAGTTGATTGAAATAGTGTAAATCAAATAAAACAATTAAAAAAGAGTAAAGTGAAATTAAGTAAATTAAAAGTTGTATTGTAATATAAAACAAAATTTAATATATTATATTAAGCAAAATTGAAATAATATAAAAAGAAGTGAAATAAAATAAATTATATTATAAATTATTATAATTAGATAAATCAAAATAACATTGTTATATAAGTTGCCTTCCAGAAAGAAGCATAGTGTAGCGTAGGATACCTCGCGTTTTCAGCGAATTGTACAGAAATGTTCTAAGTAGAAAATATTTCCAAAATTCAAATTAACATATGCATAAATTTTACATATAAAATAAAATATTTTCCACTATAATTTCGAATATTAGCTAACATATGGGTATTAAAACAAATATATATATGATACGTATGTTCGTATCTACACGTATGTGCATACCCACAACCGTGCATACATACTCGTACATGCAATGACGCATATGCATTACATTAACGGACAACATATTTTCTTTTATTCAAAGCGGAGTCCAGAAAATTTTCCTACTTCAGAAGACAATATGGTAATTATCATGTCTTAAGATTTCTTGTATATATGTACCTACTAATATCCTGCGATGTATGTATGCGCTAATATGCGTGAGTTTGTGTGTATTTAATCGTAAAATAACCGCTGCACATTTCATTTGTATGCTTCATTGTGACAACAAAGATGACCTTAGGAAAAAACGGTAATTAACACAAGAATGGATTTTCGAGTACACTCATTGACTATTTTTAAGTACCAGCAAAAAAAACTTCATATGGGTTTTTGAAAGAATGATAGAGTCGGAGACAGATTTTCCTCGTATGGAAATGCTATTTTCAGCTTACAGTTATACGACATTTCCACGACAGCCCGATTACGTGTTTCACTCTCTCAATTACGAATGCGAATTACCCCCATTCACACGGTACGCAATTTGACAGTTTTCGGTTTCGTTTGCTTGTTCCATTTTAAAACGTATAGAAAATTATATATTTTAGTAGAAATTAAAATCTTGAATTGAATTGGTAATGTAAAGTCAGTTTCTTTAATAATTTCTAATTTTTTTCTGCTTTAATATACAAATAGTTTTCGGTATCAAATCAATGTTTATATGTTAGTGTCTTCTTAGATGATTCTCCTTTTTTTTGGTTTGATTTGACAGCTGGTCTCGATAAAATTTCGATAAGAATTAGAGAAGGCATCGATTTGGTAGTCATTCGCATGGCAATTGAGAACCAACTTTTACTGTAATTCGCTCACGAAAATTTGTATGGCGAATTAAATAATTTGGAGTGCGACTTACGATTGAGAGAGCGAATCACATAATAGGGCTGACGTATTATTTGGTTATTAATTTTGTTCAAAGTTAAATTTATCTTTCCACTTTTGGATTTACTAAAGGGTTTTGTTTTTTTTTTTGTGCAGTAAAAGCCAGGGGGAGGCGATGGGAAATACATCGCTGTACATCACTTTTTTCAGTTATTAAAAAAAAATAGGAGAATATTTTGAAAGTTTCTTATTCAGCTTTCAGAATAGTAAACGAGTCTGTATAAGAAACTTTTGTTATTATATTTTTGATATTCTTCGACATTTCAAATTTATCGTTATATGGTAGCTAAAGTTAAACAAGGGGCACTAAACATCTTGACTAATATTGTTGTCCCACTCAGGATGGCAGATGTCAAAGTAAATAACTTAAAACAAGGAAGATGGAAAGAGAACCTGATGATAGGAGAAGCTCCAGACACATTTTCTCCTCTAGCTGCGAAAAAAATTATTATTAATACTCATACTGGCAAGCCACATTAAGGATTAAATGACTTGATTATGAGGTAAGCAAAGCTGTAGTAATTTGCCCAAACACATTGCATTTGCTTTGACTTAGTCTTATGATACGGCTCCAGCTAAATTAATAATATATTTTGCTGTGCAAAATGGTATACTCCATTTCCCTCAAGAGATATTTGAATGAAAACTTAAAAACTTATAAAAAATTACAGCCAAAAAATGTCTCTGGAAACAATCCTAGTATGCACAGATGGACACCATTTACGATTTCAAGTTGCAATCTTAGGTGCAGTAAAAAGAAATCGATATTTTTCCAATAGCTGGCGTTATTAATCTGTATCTCGCGTTGTGTAAGTCCGGTTGGGTTCTGCTATATGGCGTTAGAAAGATGACATTTTGCACTAGAAGACTTTTTGGACAGTTTTGTGATTGGTTGATTCAGTTTTGTTTGAGCGTGCGCCAAAGATGGACACTACCAAATTTCACAGTTTTTCTTCGATAAGGGCGTTTATGGTCCTGATACTGTTACACAATTTCATTCCGGTCATTTTGATGTAAAAAATGCTCCACGAAGTGGAAGGTCAATTGTCAATAAAATCATGGACATTGTCGAGTCCGGCCGTCCCTTAAGCACGGTTTCGATTTCCCAAGAGCTATATATATTTCGCAAGACACCGTTTGGAACCGTTTGAATAAGACTGGATACGAAAAGATAAAATGAAGCCATTCAATCGCAAGCAAAAATAATATTATCTCTTGACCTAAATGGGATTAGGACACCGAAAGGGTTACAATCTTTGGCCGGGAAAATCTGGCTCAACTCCGACACGTAAAACCGGCTGTCTTGAGAGTTGGCACAACTTATGTCTGGATTTTTTTCAGCAGATTAAACTCTTACTTATCCAGACTCAACCTCAGAATAATCAACGTATGCCCTGTATGTGAAGAGTCCTCGCACGACACTAACCACCTCTTCACATGCCCCCTTAAACCGACTCATCTAACCTTAATAATGAGGACAGGTGACAGTTGAAATTAAACTAATTTGCAACTGAATTTTATTATATATATATTTTTTTTTTTTTAAATGTCGGGCCACCAGGCAGTGACGCAGTTAAGTAGGATCAGAGGCAAATTATTTTCTATACAAATATTTTTATTAAAAATGCATACATTTTTATTAACACATTTTTTATTTGCCGGAGAGCAATCTAATTTTTAAGGTAAAAATACAAATACAATTTTGTATAAACTAAATTTATCAAATATTTAATACTAGAAACTATTTACATAAATAATACTTAAAGGCCTATCACTAAATTAATTTGTTTAACTTAACTCATGGGATTCAGCACTTTTCCCGCAAACAATATAGTTCCCGTACTCGCTTCTTCAATGAAGAACACAAACGGTCGATTCACAATGAATTCCTCTTCATCGGCACCAAAACGATTGACAATCTCCACCTCAGTTGCAGCGTACGCCACCGTGCCCACCTCATTGACATCAATACCGCTCTTCTGCAATATATTGGAAACCGACAACTGTTTAGCCGCACTCGCTGTCATGCCCGACAAATCGGCGTCATCGGTGAATATGTCCACAACACCCATGCGGCACAGCACCGCTTTCAAATCGGTCTTGTGGGCGAATTTGAATTTTGGCATTACAACGCGTACTTTGCTACGTTCCGTTGGCCATTCAATATGCTTGAACTGCTCACTTTGCATCCGTTGCAGCAGCACGTCAACGTGTTGACCCTCATTAGGTAATGCCACAAACATCGAGAACTTGCCGCCGCGATAAGGTAACGCTATTACTTTCGCCTTCAACTCATTGCAATGATAATAGAAAAAGTTATCTGTCAATTCCATATAGTTGACCTTCAGCTGATCCGTTGGCGTGCGATAGAATGCACCAGCTGGTGTTTCACTAAATTTACGCAACCACTTGCCGTTGAAATAGATGGCATTCACTAACAGCATAACGCTATTTGCAACACTCTCCGCCGACACCAATTCCTTCAAACGACCCTCGGTCACGCGTGCGATCCATGAATTCATCTTGTCGGCCGACGTCGTGCTATCCGCGAATTCCAATTGCTCAACGGGCGTTTGATAAACGGACTGCAGTACTGCGGTATACTCCGGCAATGGCTGCACAGCTGTATCTGTGAAGAAGCGTGTGTCCAAGTGTAGTGTATACTCCCCGGTTTGTTCGTGCTGCAGTGCGACCAGTGTGTTGCGATAAAAAGTACGCAAATTTTGCAGTGAGGTTGCGCCGCCCAACGCTGTTAATAATTGTTGCTGTGAACGCGTGCCATTGCCCGTCGCCTCGGTGAGTAGCGCGAGCACAAGTTTAATGGAGAAAGGTGAAAATATCACATTCTCTGTATCTTCCGCTAGGTAGCCACCGTTTGCTTTCGCTGCTTTGATCGCATTATTTTGTTGTGTTGCTTGTTTGGTTGTTGACGCTAAAATCTGCTTGATCAATGCCCACGACACGCTATCGTACTCATCACTGCGGTAGGGTATGTAATCAAATCGCTCGCTGTTAAATGGCGCATCAGCTAGTGGCATATCGTATGTGGTGAAAATTCCAGGTGGTATCTCGAATACATGACTGTCGTTAAACGCAATTGTGAAGGCGCTCAATTGTGTGGAATTAACTTTGGGCTGCGTCACCACAGCTGGCGCCGGATAAGCGTGTGCGAGTGCGATAAATAGTACGTAGTAGAAGGTAAGAAATGCCAATATTCTAAGCTGCGTCATATTGTTGCTCACTTTGTTTGCAAAGCCGCGAGTTGCTCTTTTCAACACTTTGAGAAATTTTAGTGTAAATTTGATTTTATTTTACTTTAAATTGGTTTGCTTTTAAGTTTATATAAGTATTATATTTATTTAATTTAGCTTGTTTGAATTTTGATTTATTTTATTTTAAATTAATTTCATCTCTTTAATATTTAATTTAAATTTCTTTTTATTTAATTAAGCTTATTTAAATTTTGCTTTATTTGATTTTATTGATTTTTAATTAACTTATTCAATTTCACCGTTTTTATATTTAATTTAAATTAATTTTTATTTTTAATTTTATTGTTTTTAATTTGTTTATTTATTTTATTTTTTTACTTTTTTTATATCTCTTTTACATATATATAATGTAAATATAATTTGAATTTAATTGTATATAATTATTTTGTGTAATTTTTTTTATTTTAATATAATTTGATTTAATTTTTAATTAATTTGTTATATCCTATTTTTATTTGAATGGATTTTTATATTGAACTTAATTTGAATTTATTTCATATTTTTTATTTGTAATTAATTTAATTTTATTCAGTCTTATTTATGTACATATATATATGTATATATTTTTTGTCTTATTTGTTCCACTATCGCAATTCAAAGCCGCTATTACTTAGTCGCTGAACCGCTCACAACAAGTTTCGCGTACACAATGATCGGTCTCCACTGCGATCGACTGCTCATAAGACTTATTGGGGGAAAACCAGCTTTGAATGCTGTATGTACGTACTTATAAATTGGTTGTATGAATGTGAATTGTTTGTTAGTTTGCTAACTCTCGTTGCCTCTTGCCGCTTACTTTGTTGCTGTCGTCTCTGGGTTTTGTTTTCCTGAGTTTTTTGTTTTTTTTTCTGCTTCCGTAGCTTTTGCTTGCTTTGAGATGAATGAAATGCTTTCTTATCTTCGAGAGTATAATGTAGTAAATCTTGCTCTCGCCAATTTTTTTTTACAAATTTTATTGTTGCTGTTTGTGTCACATAAAAAAGTCTGGTACTGAGGCGGAGTGTAAAACCAATCGGTGATTTTCCGTGCGTTGTTTTGATATTTTTTTTTAATTAATAAAAATTTATTTGTAAAGAATATTTTTAATTTATTTTTTGAATGATTTGCTTTTAATTTTTTTGCGCTTAAAATGAAATTAATATGCGTCCTCTAGTAAATATATTAAGTGACTGTCAATGCTCTTAGCGTTAACGTTCGTTTTATACACCAACTCAAACCGGCATCAACATACATACATTACATAGCCAACATATTTCTGACATTCTTTGAATATGTATGAAATATCTCAAATAATGTTAGTCTCAAAAACATGCTGTTGAAGAAAAGAAAAATCCTTTTTCTTGGGACTTTTTTCAAGGTATTTCCAGCGATCAGCAAGGGGTATGTATGTATGTGTATACAAAAATTTACAGGCCTGCGCGCGCACATATGTTAGGCAGATTCATTCATATTTTTGGGTCTTTATTACACCTCCTACGTACCCTGTAGGAAATAAGTTAACAGAAATTACTTAAAGATATTTGTTTACTAAAAATGTGTAAATGTGTTGCTTTTTGCGCTCAAAAAAAAAAATTTTTAGATAGTCCTATAAAAAGTTTGGCTGTTACCTTAAAACTTGAGTGCAGCTTTACCGAGCTCAACCAAAATTATGAAGAATTCTGAATACAAATTTTATCTTCTTATATGTCGTATATACATGCTGTACGTGTGTTTGTTTGAAATTTCCTAAATAATTTAATTTCTTATTCAGCAGAGTTGCCACCTATTTTGAAATTATTATATATAAAATCTTCCTTAAGCGTTTGCGTGAAGTTTCATGTGAGCGTTCAAGATAGCTAGAGAATAGTGAAATTTTTAATGCAGCAAAGTTGCCACCTGAATTGATACAGTATAAAAAAATTTTCAGTCGGTGTTCAGGTATACTCGAGTATACTCGAGTATATAGTTAAACTTAAGTTTTAGCGGAGTAGCCAACTATTTTTAAACTTATTTTATATACATTTTTTTATTAATAATGATTGAACTTTACAATTCGACAGAGCTACCACCCGTTTTGAAATGTAAATTAAAAAAAATTATGCATTACAAAGCGGGTAACATACCGAAAAAGAGAAAGAAAGAGAGAGAAATGTTTAATAAAAAGTGTTTTTCAGCAGCGTTGCCACCTATTATAGTTTTTAGTTGAAAAAATTGACGACATTCGTTATACGTCATGCGTTGTTGTATAGGCAACATTCAATTTGTTCTAGAAAAGTTGCCACCGGTTTGAAAATTTTGAAATAATTAAATTGATGAATTAAATTAAATATTCTATGGAGACTATGAAGCTTAAACTGTGGAAAATAATTTAAATATACCCACATATAATAAATGCTAAATATAAGTATTAAGCTGAAGGCATTTAGGAAAAATTTTACCATTTGAATATTTTATGGCATTAATGGAATATTACAGTAAAGGTATCGAAAAAGAGAATATCGCAAAAAATGGCAAAAAAAAAGACACTCGATAATACTAATGGAAAACCCATTCTCTAAAAAACTAAAAAAAAACTTAAAAAAAAATTGAGTGAATTATTACTGTACAAAATTAAATTTTTCTAATTTTATTTCATTTAATCAATTTTAAAAATCATATAATTTCTTTTTTTACTTACAAATATTTATTATCTATATAATATATTTATATTTTGATTTGCTAATGTTTATAATTTTAATAATTTCTACGATTTCCTGCTGGGTAAAAACAATGGCTCAAGGGCTTGCCCTAAAATATCTTCAGCAGTAAAAACAAAATCAGTAATAATGACTCATTATCTTTTAGTAAAATTAGCACACTTTGGTAAATATTTGTGTTCGAAATGCGTTTAGCGGTATGTTAGCGCCAGCTTGTGAAATCCCATATATATATATATATATATATATATTTGTATGATTGCAATTTTCAGAAATTCGTGGGAAACTGCATATGAAATTCCAGTAGTGATAAGCATTAACAGCAGGGAAATGGGATTTTTATTATTTTTATTTTTATTTGTTTTTTTTTTTTATTATTCTAATGACTTAACAATATGGTTATTTTACTTAATTACATACATATATATATATATATGCATATTGCATATACGTAAATATGTAATAACATATGAGCTGCTTTCCCATGACTTACGGTAAATATTTATTATGCAGAATTTTGATTGCTCTGCCGCTTGTTTATTAATGTTGGAAAATGCATATGTGCCACGTAGCTTGGCCACAGGAAAGGCCGCAAGAAGGTAGGTAAGGGAAATACTATAATGTGGCCACATTTGAACGCTACTTAGTTTTGAACACTTCGTATCTGCACATATGCACATTTTGTTCTTGGATTACTATAAAACTAGCATTGACAACGAAAGAAATGATTTTGACGGATAGTTGAAAAATGGTTTGAGGTAATTGAATTGTTAGTAAAGTTCAATGATGGGAAATATTATTAATATTAATTTTTTCATACTATTCTATTTGACCGATTTAGTTTATTGAAACAAATAATTAAAAAAAAAATTGACAAGCTTGCCCCGTAGTTACTTTATTTTTCTTCTATGCTTTGCATATTTAGACTGCAATTTAGAAAACCAACTGAATTCAGCTGGAGTTAAAATTATAGTATAATTTATTTATTTTTTTAAATATATAATATAATCAATACCCGCCCCGACAATAGAATTAAAATATATAAAAAAATAAAATAAAACAAAAATAAATACAAAATAAGAAAAAAAAGAGGAAACTCCATGTAGTGAGATTTAAGAAAAATTGATTGAACACGAAGAAATCGAAGAAAGTGAGAGGAACGAAACCGTCGAGCACTAGTCCGATGTCTCAACTCCTGTGAGTGGCGTGCTTTCATTACTCGATGAAGGAAAACAATACTACCAGCGAAAAGTTACCAATATGTTCTGTGAAAAAGCTGCCTGTGCTCAGAGCATGACATTCGATCCGCTTTGCCAGCAGCAGCACCATATGAGTGTCGCCACAAATAATGGCTAGGAGCGTAAGACGAATCGAAAAGCGAGAGGATAAGCCAAAAGAAGTGAAAGCCGACAGAAGAAAGGGTAATGTATATTTGCTTCGGAATAATATTGTATTTGTGCCACTGCAAGCATTTGCAAGCAAAGGATTTATAGCATTTTCGATATTTTGATATTTTTAATGCTGGGAAGTCGAAAAATATTGGTGACTATTTCCCCTATGTTTTTTATGTATTCTGTCGACAAGACAAGGCAGTGAAAAAAGGAAAAAATATTACACTTGAGGACGTATAAATCAATTTCTAGTCACTGCTATATTTAAAACTTTTTAAAAATATAATTTTTACAATATTCTTTACCCAATGTAGGTTTTAATATAGGTGATGCGGTTAAGCCATTTTAAACAACAAGGGATACAAAATTTTCACATAAAGAGCGGAGACAAAACTTTACGTTTCAAACTATGATAAATGTTATATTATTAAAAACTAAAAGGTTTGTGGCGTATGAGGTATTATTAATTTTAATATTTACACGTCTAGGTTAAATACTAATCTCTTCTGCTGAACGGGCAATGCCTGAGAGAAATGTCTACAGCTCACATTGAAAACTTTTCTCTCGACGAGTTAGGATTTTGGAACCTCCTTCAGAGAATATAATCCACCCAACTTCGCTTGAGGGTGCCGTTGCGATGTAAACTCAATGGAAGAAAAGAAAGCGGGATGCACAAATCGTTTAATCAGCTGTTATCCCCAACTACTCTATCATGAATATTTTGAGGTTGTTAGTGCCATAGACAAAAGATTTATATTTTATTAAGCTTAAAGTAAATGAGATCGCGAAGCAAAAAGAAAAAAATAAACAAGAGCGGCTTTTGTATTTTTGACATACATTTTATACCGTGCTCTTCATCAATGGATAGAAGTTCACTTTGAAAAGTGCAAAGATCCTTTTCCCTTGAAATAGGCAAATGTCAGATTTAGTTGAAGAACTCATTTCTGAACTTGATAGTAGCAATCTAACTTCTATTTTAACACTATCAAAATGCTTAAAGGTTCTAACCGCTTTGCGAT